TTATATGACACTGGCATCCTCCAGGGCCTTTCCCATGTTGTGTTTTATGTCCATATTTATTGTGTTTTTAGAGTGAGAAAAATGAAGTATTTTCTTGCCACCATTATTCCCTACAGAATCCTAGAGCAAATTTGCAATTGTACTCTATCAGCATTATATCTTGTGTTGTGCAAAAGAACATAAAGGAGCATATAGAAATGTACAGAGGACCCCCCCCCTCACCTCATATGTGAAGGGATACCATAACCCTGCAAAGAAAATGGAAAAAGCAGTCTTGCTACAGCATCAGGTTAAACACTGCATAAAAACATCACAGAGGTACAGAGAACAGACTGAGTAACCCTTGTGGCTGCCTTATAACCTGTTGAGTCTCTCATGCAAGTCCTAATTTCTGTTGTCTATATTTATGATTTCTTTAAAAAGTGCAATACTATTTGAGTAAATGTCATTAGAACTAAGTGTCAAAAATGCATAACAACTTTGACTTGCTAACCATACTGAGCCAATATCTGCATGTTTAACAGAGTGGGGAAATGGATTTCCTGTGCTAAAGGGCTTTTTCAGGGTGATCAGCAATCCTGTGAAGAATTCTCTGCTCTAACATTCATCAGTAGGCTAAAGAGGTGAAAACCAAGTTACATTTAAAATTGTTCTCACCAACAAAGCATGACTGACTCTCCTCAGCTGCAAAGATATGCACCTGTTATCAGCTGCTGCTACAGGCAAGTGCCATGTGCTTGACAGTACTGGCCTCTTTTTGCCCCTCAGGAGAGCTGGAATTTGAAAACAAAAATAAACTATTTGCATAGTGAAATGCATTGAAATGTCAGAAGGCTGGAGCAAGAAGAGAACAGGAGAGTGAAACAGGACAGGATCATAACAAACATTGAGTTGTCCAGAAATTAACTCATGATGCAGAACAATTATTTCCAAAGTCCTTTACTGACAGAAAGCAGGAAACAATTTTTTTCTATCTTAAGGGTAGAAAGCAGAGTGACTGTGGGCATCAATGCCTCCTGGCCATCTGGGCAGGGCTAGCCAGCCAAGATGGCCTGCCCTTACTACTTTTTCCTTCCTGCAAAAGCTGGGAATGCTGTGAAACAGGTTGCTGTTGACCCCATCTCTACTGTCCAAGCAGGTTACTAGTTCTTTGTCATGTCTCCCATAGCAGCCATTGTGTGGTGCTGCCCATGACACTTTCTCAGATACCAAAATGGCCCACATACCTCTGCAGTATAGAATATAAGACAATGATCTAGTCTGGCTCATTCACAATGCATGGTTTTGCTTCTGGGTTTGTTTTTTTTTAACAAAGGTTTTAGAGAGTCAAATTCAGACACCTCATCAACAGCAACCAGCTAAAATGTCAGTTCAACATGCATGAACTGTAGAGGAGCACCATATATAACTACCTACATACATATAACATTGTAAGACTTTTTACACAGTTGCTATTTTTCTTCTTCAAATGCATTAATTAGCGTGCTATTTATTGTTCCCTCCAACACAAAAAATATTTTCTTCTAGAGTCTAGTTCATACCTGAAAGCACCTGCATCATTCCCTTGTTCTTCTTACTCTGGTGTTTTCTATTCCACAAATCTTAATGCCATCCTTGGACAGTCCAGCATCATTCTTAAGGTGAAAGCCACATGCTGATCCAAAGTTTTTACCCACTCCAATCTTGTGCAATTATTTCAGAGGACTAGCAGGTAACACAGAACAATGATTCACATAAGCATCCTTCACATTTTTGACATTTCAGTTATTAAGCACCACTCTTTTTTGAGCAAAGCATCATTTGTCTGCCCTTGGGAAGCATCACTTATCATTCATCACCTTACAATCCAAGACACAGAAACATGAGAACACCTCCACAGATTTAATTTCATGCCTGAATAATCATGCAGATTTGCCAGTTCTCTGAACCAAAGAGACAGGATTTTAAAGCAGTTTCCCCCCTTCCCATTTTGAAATTTGATTACACAGGTTATTGTGCTTAGGCTCAAAATGTAGTGATGGCTACTAGTTTAGAGGGCTTTAGTGTAAAGCAGGTATAGCAAGGCTGGGCTGCATCCCACTGGAAGGTAATTTGTCTGGGGGACTTAATTCCCTTGGGGGTAATTTGTTGGGGCATGGCATGCTGGTGAAGGGTAGGGGCTGAAACTGACAGTGAGTGGGGAGCTCTCTCTCTCTCTCTCTCTCTCTCTCTCTCTCTCTCTCTCTCTCTCTCTGCCTGCTACACCCTTTTCTATCCCTTTCTGAGAGCCCATTCAAAGTCTTGCCTAGTCTTCCTCACAGCCCAGTGGGTTGTTAGGGGAGGGCAGATTGGAGAAAAATTAGACACTGGGGAAAGAGGATTTTATTATCACCTGAAGCTGGGGCTTTATTCTGTCAAGATTCATCCCACCAGCTACTAGCTTCCATAAACTATATGGAATGTGCTCCCCAGAGAGTTTCGCCTGGCACCAACTTTATATGCTTTTCGGCATCAGGTCAAGACCTTTTTATTTACCCAAAATTTTAAAGTTTAAATATTTTGATTAAGTTTTTATCCTTAGTGGTGTGTTATTATGATGTATTTATTAGGTCTTTTATATTGCAAGCAATCCAGAGATAAACCGTAATGGATGGGATAGAAATACCCAAACAAACAAACAAACAAAAAAGGATTGCCCCAGCTTCTCCAGGTGAAGTCTGAAACCATCACATCTCCTACTAGATAGGAACCTTATTGGGGTATCTGCAGCCCCGTCCTCCCATATGTCATCTTAACTTTGTGATCATACAGACCGCTGGCCTCATTCTCATGTAAAATTGTAAGCTAATGAACCATGGTTTGCCACAGTATGTGCCATTTCCATTTTGAATACCTAAGCATTCCTAAGTTAACTGTGGGTTGTTTAACTAATAATTAACTCATAGTGTCCCGGTTCATATGTTATTCAATAACCTCTGAGCAGTTGATTGGAGGGTGCATTTTCAAAATGATGACAACGCACAGTCCTAGCAAACTGTAGGTTTATTAACAGTCTTGTATGAAGCAGCTCCACGACCTCAATGTCAAGTGAGCATCTCTCTACTTACTCCCCTCAACTATCTGCTTCATGTTATACCTTGCCTGATGAATACATCTGGAGATCTTGAAAATGTGCACATTTTGTGCAGCCTAAACAATGTGTCCCCACCCAGGCAAAAGGCCACTGGCAAGACTCCACTCAAGTTGCTCCTCCTCTTCATCACTGCAAGCCGTATAGCCACCTGCTTCCCATTTTGACCCAGCAAAAGAGGTGGCGAGAAGGAGCAGTAGATGTCACTGCCTGCTTGCTCACTGGCTCTCTGTCAAGCAAGTAAGTGGTAGCTAGGACGGCAGTATGGAAGGTGACGTTGAGCATGCCACGGATTCCACCCTAACCATTCCTGTGGGTTCCATGCAATGCTGTACTCTTCAAAGTAATCCACAACTTCTCAACTCACACTGTATTAGAATTACAAGGATCTCTAAGTGATGGATGAAAAAGCTGTCTAAGCTTCTTTTAGGATTTTCTTTCCCCACAATGGGTTTTTGTTTTCAGAGAACCTAATTTGAATTGCTGTGCAGTAATTACAGGGTAATTAGCACAGGTTTGCCAGCCCTCCTTCTTGCTGGCATGCTTATTTTTGGCTGCATGTGAACAATTACAAAGCACTGGGTGGGTGCACCTGCAACCTTGATGGACACTAAATTTATGCACATCACCAGTCACTATCACCAAGTTCAAAGCAGGTCATGGTGGGGGGACCCACCTCTCAAAAACCTCACAATGAGCATGTGAGGGATGCAAGAGTCTTGCCAGTGCAAGATGCAAGGATCTTATATTTCTAGAAGACTGAGTGCTGGTCTTGCCGTGGTGATTGAGGGGCATCCTTTTGGCCAGACTCATCTTGTCAGTCACATAGATTCATGTAGCTCCTTGAGGGAGCTGGAGCCATCATGAAATGAAGCTCTGCTCAGCTACTTCCATATTTTTAAAAGGTTATAGCTAATTATATCCTCCAGGAAATGTGAGCTTTGAATTCTCAAGGAATCTTTTAACCGCAGCATTAGCCATTCTATTAGGCCAGTTCATACAATCACCACGGCATAAACAATGTGCACCTATTGATATAAAACAGTGTGTGCAAATTATATGCACATACTTGTTTTCTTCTTTGTTGGAATGCAAAAATTTTACCCCTGGCATGGCCTTGTTCCCTCTGCTCCCACCGCCTCTGCTTTCCTTTTTATGTTTTTCTATGCTCCTGAAAGCTGACATGGAGCAGCCAGCTTTAAAATACTATTTTATGGAAACAAGTAGCTCCTGCATATATACAAACAATCAGAGTCGGGAAGAGGTTAACCTGAACCCACACTACCATCCCAGTAGTTTGAGCAACTTTTTGTGAATCGCCAGGCCAGAAGAGAGGATATGCATCATCAGAAAAGAGGATGCAAAGGGACTGATTGTAGTTGCTAATTCACATCAGCTGCATGTTTCTACAGAAGTATATCTCCCCACAGTGTAGGTGAGCTGTGTCTGGCTCAGTCTGCTGCCCCAGTGCTGTCACTAGGCAACTGCAGGGCTCTGCCTTTCTTTCTGATGGTTCTGTGTGGACTTGGACTGGAAAGCCCTTCAAAATAAAGGGCACTCCTCTTGGAGCCCCTCAAACATGGCCATACTAGCACTATCTTAGCAGGATGGCTTCCTGACTCCCACAGGGACATATCGAAACTTGAGTTTGTTGCTTTTATGCTGCTCCTAGTAATTGTACTATTTCTGTATATTTTGGATTTGTTTACTATTTCCATATATTTGGGGGGGTGTTTTAAATGTAGTTTACTGCTTTTAAATCAAACACTGAAATAGGCAAGCACCCACCTTCAGCCTTGAACCACTCCATTCCAGGAAGGGTGCCGCCATGGAGGAGCACAGGGGGCTGCCTGCCATGCATGCAGCCCAGGCAGCTCAGCTCACCAGAGGAAGGCAGGATTCTTCCCTTGCCCCACCTGCAGATCCCACCTGACCCTTTCTGTGTGCAAACAACCTGCTTTGCCGCCAACTCACAGCCCGCCTTTGTTTCTGCCTTCACAGAACCTTTGGGACATCGCTGTTGTTCAAAGGGACAAATTGATCCTGGACATGCCTACCAGGGCTGCATGCCAGCAGCAGATAAGCTGCCAAGTGCCTGAAGACTGTGATAGCTAAAGCCCACTCACAGACACGCATGCTCCCGTTGCCTGCCCACTGCTGAAATTGGGCTTAAAAAAGAAAAAAAAGTACCCTAACTACAGTGCGGGAGATGTGAGTTTTGTTTTGGTTCAGGTTTTATTTGAGGTTCTATGACATATTGAAAAGGCTCTCTTTTTAAAGGCCAGGTAAGTTGAAAATAGGAATGGAAATTCTTTTCAGAAAGCCTGTTCTAATTCTGCAAGTCTATGGCAGGTACACACTGTCTTTACCTTGGGTGTTGGAGCAAAACAGATTACCCATTCTGTTCCAGTGCATGTCAAGTTGATATTTTGTTTCTAGGCTGAAAACAGAAAGATTTTTTTTTCCAGAGCTGCAAGTTATTCCTGGAAACAATTCTGTGTAGCAATGAATGAGGTGAGTTTGTTTTGCTTTTTCTGTACCGCTGCAGCAGAAGGTGGGTTGGTGCAGTGCTAAACCCTTCAGGCTGAAAGCGCAATAATGTGTGTATTATTGTTATTAATGGAACAGCAGCTGCACTGCCTTTGTCTGAAGCTGCCTGCAAGGCCATTTTAGAGAAAGAAATTGAAGCTTGCCATCGCACTCTGAATTCTTTTCATTGCAAGGGCAAAATATTATTTTGGCTTCCCCTACAAACAAAGATTTCCTGACCAGAATCCATTTATCCTTCTATAGAGAATTTTCAAGTAAAGTTAAAAACAAATGGACAATAAAGATTCTACAATCCATACTGCTATAGTTCCTTGTATTACACCAAAGACGTGCACGCCAGTCATCTTCCTCAGTCAAGAGGTTAGAAAAAGCCGGTTTTGCAGGTGAGGTGGGGGGATGAAAAAAAAGCCAAGCCAAACCTGAACTGATGGTTAAGTCACGTCAACAACAACCACAGCTTATTTAACTCCTGGTTGCTCAGGAGAGAACAAGTAATCAGGCTTCCTCTTCCATACTTGCTTCTTCTGCTATGTTTCCTGTTCAGAAGCATACCCAGAACCCCATATGTTCTTTGGATTTTGCTGTAGTTCAGTGGGAAACAATCCAGAGTGTGTTAACCATGAGCTAAAATTTTGAGATCCTTCCCACCTATTCATTTGAGACTAAGAATGGTACTTCACAGCAGCATTGTCTTGTTATTTCAGCTAGTATTCCAATTAGCCTTTCCATCCCTGAAACCTGGGTACATAGGAGTATAATCATTCCTTTGCTGAAGCAAAGCAAGATCCATCTAGTCCATCCTTCACCATTCTGATTTCCTCCAGATGTTCTTGACTTCAGCTCCCAACAGCCCCAGTATAGACAATGGTCTGAAATGCTGGGAGTTGTAGAGGGCTGTGGAAAGCTGATCTCTGGAAAGTCACAAACAGGTCATGATAGACACTGTAGACGTCCTCTGTGGCAGCCCTCCATTAATCAGCTATAAGCCCAGTAAGTTAAATTAGGGCCCAATTTTATGCATATCCAGAGAGAAAAATATCCTAAAACACCCAGTATCCTCCAGCCAATATTGCTGGCTGGAGGATGCTTGGAGCTGTAGGGCTTTTTTTCCTGTCCAGGTATGTATATGATGGTGCCTTTACTTGTTTTGGTTGATTTTCAACACAGACGAGAAAGGATGCTTCCTTGTGACACTTTTTGAGAATCACTGGTTTATAGTGACCAATCTTATACTTTCTGGAAAACGTTCCACTGATGACTAATCCTTTCTAATTTTCTTTCCATCAGAAAGAACAAAAAAGAAGGCAACAATGGCAATTTGCAAAAACACAGGGTAGGTGGGTGGATAAATTCAGCCATGTGTACAATGGAAATGAGATTTTCAGACTATAGACCAGCACTATGAGAACTTAATGATTTATTGCAGGCTGAAATCTATCCAGATTGAATTGGCTGTAGTGCTGTTTGAGTTTGTTTTTCAGCAACAAGCAATGCCCCTCAAGCATGTGTCATTTCAACAAACAAAGTGAAAGTACAAAAGCTCTGAGGATTTACTGCTAGAAATAAATAAGTAGCATGGAGTAATGTTTGCAGACCTGCTGTTCATTGAACACCCCTATGCACACAGATTCACACACAGATTCACACACACACACATCCTTAGTTGGATTTTCAAGTGGAGGTCTACATGATTATGAGTGAGAATGATTTCCTATTTTAAGGCCAGTGGTCAATAGTCAGATTCTCCCACAGCAGCAAACATTGATTAACTTTGCCCTTGATTAATTGGTGAAAACAACAGAACAAAACCTGATGTACTGTTTTCTCTTTTCACCTCTTTTCTGATGATGCACATAACAGTATTTTGGTTTTCATAAAATATATGAGAGAGAGAACTGTTTAGCTCTCTGTTTCAGGTTTAAGAAGTCTAGTCTGGTACTACCAATGGCTTGACTGGCCAACTGGGCAGCTCTGCATTCCAGTCTAGGACTGTAAGATTCTCCAACTGGAGATATGAGGGTGGCGTTAACTGAGTGATATGTATTCAAAGCACACAGCTAACTAGCAAACTATATTCTGATTCATTAGTTAGAGATTATTAGGGTGTGACACTGCAGTTACAGGAAAGCCCTACTTTGGTAGCAAAGAACAAAGTATAATTCTATGAAAGAAGAGTGCCTTTTCTTCACACTAAGTAGTACAATCAACTTCCATAAATCTTGGTTAAGGGCAAATAACTTACAGATTTGAGTGTGAGGAGACTTTACCGAATGGTAACCATGTAAAGCTTGTATTCATGGCATTATGTCCTGGGTTCAACCCCAATTATTTCCAGACAGAACTGGGAAGGACTCCTGTCCAAAACCCTAGAAAACACTGGACAGCCTGAGGACCAAATCTGGCCCTCTGGGTTTTCCCAACCAGACATTGGGTGGTTGCCCAGTATTTGGCCAAAAGAGGCAGCAAGAACTTGAATATGCCTCTGTTTTTGCTCCATCTGCCACTAGAATGTGGTGTCTGTCCCCAAGATGGAATGAGATAATATTAAGATAGATGGGCAGTGCTCTGAGTCTCTATAAATCATCTCCCTATGACCCCAGAGTTCCAGGATGTCACTTGCAGCTTCAAATGTAGCTGCAAGCTGGACATTTATTCATTTACGCATGTACTTATAAGGGATTTTAGACTCCAATTTTCACTCTTAACAGCCTCAAATCCACCACCCAAACTATGAGCATATCTCTGTCTTAGGAATGACTTATTTTATCCTTTCTCATGCTTGCAAGAAGCACTTTTCACTGATGGAAGTTGCCCAGGTCCTTGTGGCAACTCCCTTGCCCAACCCAAATCGTGTTCATCCTGGAGGATCCTTCCCTAACTCTGAATGGTATTCAGTTTTGGAGATTTTCTCTAAAAACATGTGTGCAACCATTTTGTACTCTGATGCAGCTCCAGATGTAGGATGCCAATTGATTGCTGCTGGAGCACCTGCTAAAAGGGTTTAGATATACACTTGCCTTTATGCCCATCTCCCTCCCTCATCTGTACCTGGCAAATGTTGTGGTTCAAAAACTCCAGGGATGTGTGTGGCTACTGTGATTGATTGTTGGTCTCTTTTAAAAAGAGAAAAAAAGAAAAACAAACATGTTTCTGATTTCTTAGTGCTATAAGAGAAGTACTGGCTGAAGCAGAGGTAGACATGTTGGGACCTGGCCAAGAGGCACTGAAAATAAGGGAGTCAGCAGGGATGCCACTGCGGCTTCTGTCCAGCATTGGGCTGAAAGAAGTTGGGGAGGTGGGGCTCCTGAACCCCAACATCACCTCCACTTGCCATGTACTGATGTTGGGCCTGTGTGAGTGAGCACTGGTCCCTTCTGCGCTTGGCTTCTCTTGTCCCTCAGTCCCCAGTCAGTGCCAATTTACCCAAGACACACAGCAGAAGGATAATACTGGAGCATCCTGCTCAGAGCCCTGCCAGAATCAGTGCTGGTCCTGCACTCATCAGGGAACTGAATTGATTCATAATAGGGGTGGAGAAGAAGCAGCAGCTTTGGAAATATTTTGCATCATGGTAGAGAAGGAAATGAGGAAGCAGAGCTACCATTTCAAGTATTATCAGCTGTGGATTTCCCAAGAGGTATATTTGCCAGTATTTGAATGGTAAAGGATGAATGACTGGCTCAAAATTGAGCACACAGTAGAATGTCTGATTAGGTTTTTGTGAATGAGTTTCCTGTTTCCAAGTTAAGAAATCCTCAGTTTCAAGAAACATCCTGACTGAGAATTCAAAAGGAAGAACAGGACCATTCCCTGGTGCTGGTGCTCTCTGCTGGTCCCCATTTCTTTGCAAACTAGGGAACCCCAGCTTTCCTGAATTGCCTTCATTAAGCAGCTGAATTTCCTGGAATGTTAATGCTGGAAATTGTGCTTGGGAGTGAATCCATGATTGAAATCCCTGTGTTCCCCGAAGAAATGCACTAATAGAATCCAATACTTTACTATGCTTTTAGTTTAATGAATTTATTTTCTGTCCATTTCTAAAGCTCTGACACAGGATTCCTGGAAAATCAAAGCATAAAGATGCATTCTAGAATGACTTAGAAGGATAGATAATCTTGCAGTGTAAGGTCATTTGTGTTTAGGTAATGGGTATGCTACTAAATAACAGCAGGGGTGGTCCAAGAGATTTTTCAGTTTAGTGAAGGACGGACTGGTATCCTATCACCTCGTTCCATTTTCAGAAGCTGATCAGACAGGCTGCTGAATCTTACTGCAACCCTGACAGTGGGACAGTGCCCTCCACTGCCCTTGCCTGCCACACACAGCTCTGTGCTCCAACACTTTACCACCCCTTAGCATCTGCTGCCCCAGGCAGCTGTCTCGTTTTGCCTAATAATAGGGCAGCAGAGATGCAAGTAAGCAAGCTGATTAAACCAGCTTCTGTTGTAGTTGCTTAACATTTTATTTCGCTTTTATTTATTGTATTTTAGATCATCCAATAGCAATAATACAGTCAAACATGAGCTTGAAGCAAAATAAAATCAAAGTACGAAAAAAGAATTAACAAGGGAAAAACCAGCACAAAGATCTACAAACACACCGATACAATTTCTGAAACTGAATGACCAAATAGAAAGAGTTGGCCCATGTTTAAAACATTTCTACATTTGTGGGAAAGTGAAAAAAGAACAATCATAGCAAAGCAAGTCCACATGGTGAGAGTAAATGAAGATTTATATTGTTCCAGTCCTCCATGTTCTGGCTTCTGTAAATCCACATAGCATAAACAAAATGAGCTTCCACGCATATACCTAGCATAATCACACTATCAGTCTTATGTTTAGCTTTCCAAACCCCTGAGCTGCTGCAGCAGGCCGAGTTTGCTTAAGTGCAGCAAAGCTACATTTGGGATCAATCATTGTCCAGTTAATGCCCTCACCAAAAGTATTCATTAAAGCTGTTTGTCTAGAGTCACATTCTTTCAAACAGGTGAGCATGCCAGTTAATCCCTCAGCCAGTGCTTAGTGCTGTAGTTCCCATTTGCAGTAAGTCATTAGAAAAGGTGAGTGTGTCTTTGGTTTCATCTAATCATTGCACAGCAGAAACTGAGACCAGAAATAGCCTGGGGCTAGGCCAGCTTTTTCTGCAATACTTGCGGTCTGCAGCACTGATAAGCTTGTAAGTTTGGGCATCAGAATCCGATTCCAAGAATCTGCTCTCATGCCTGCCTTTATTTATTGATTCTACTTCTATATCACCAAGTAGCCCAAGCTTTTTGAGCAGTCATTGAAACACTGAAATGGAACATACAACACACTATACAAGTTTAAAGCTACATTTTGAAATAGAAATTTTAAAAAAAGTAAAAGCTAGCAGCAATGCCAAGATTAAAATGCAGTAATGGGTATCAAGCAGAAAATTAAAGACTGACATGCCTGGAAGAATAAGAAGTTGGGTCCAGCCTGAATCCCTCCCCTCCTTTTCCAACCAAATGGAGTTAGCACCATCCTCAGAGTGGTTCTCCTTGCTTGTGAGCCAGACTGCAGGAATGTCAGACACTATTCAGTCTTCTCTTTTGTTCTGAAACCAGACTATGAGACTCATCACATTTCATCTCTCCCCAACTAATTCCTCTTATTCTACAGAGTTTCTCACCAGCCAGCAGGTTTATCTCTGAACCTGCTGGCCTTGGCATTTCAGCTAAGAATTCCAGCATTGCCTCTTCCAATTCTGAATCAGGTTTAGAGGCAACACCCTTGGAATGCTGTGTTTAAAGAGGACTAGTCCCTACACATGCTTTACAGGTCTTCACATCATTTTGAAATAAACTTGCTGAATAAAGAAAGTACACTCCAAAGTATACTTCAGATAACCATTGCATGGGCTTCCCACTGCATAGATTTGATGTGTATCATATGCTAACAGCTGAGGGAATCCACTTAGTGCACATTCCTATAGGGATACCTGTAAGCCTCCAAATGCAGAAGGTTCAAGGGCATCCTATGCAGAGCAAATCTTCTCTCATTCTTCAAAGTCACTTCAGTGATTTTGGCTAAGTGGAGCATTTTTGGAAGGGGAGGGAAGAAGGCTGAGGCACTGCCAGGATCCATTGTATCTTGGAGGTGTCAATCTTTTTCCCTCCCTACCACCCAGAATACCCCCAAAAGCCCTTCTTTTCTGAGTGCAGATCCTTAGCTATGATGACAGAAAGCTTTTCAACCTCATAGCTAGGAGATTTCTCCATCCTCGCAGCAGGGAAAGGGAGATGGAGAGATTGTGTGGCTATCTAGAAGCTATCTAGCAGCCATTGGATTGCTCTGCCCATAAGCACATAAACTCCAGACTAGATAAGTAAGTTGACCCTTGATTGACTTCCCACTTAAACTGGTCAAAGTATTTGAGAGTTTTAGTACCTTTCTACA